CAACCCAAATAAAGTCATGATTCAATGTTGACAACTCCTAATGCACAATGAGGGTTTCATTAATTTTTTTCACGTATTACAGTCCTTTTTACGCGACAAAAATTACAATTGTATTAGCACCCTTTTGATTACAACCTAAAATTGTTGTCCACTAATAGACACCAAAACTCTAGAAACAATGATAGACTTATTGTGCATAGAAGCGTTACAAAAATATATACCGATTGACACGACTAAAACCTACCGACTGTTTCTAACTTAAAAAATTCAAATAACATTTTAGTTTTCAAGTGAGTCAAGTTCCATAAAATTCCAAAACTTTATAAACTTAATTCCAGTATAAGAATAAATTTTTTTCCTAAATCAACTACCAAAAATTACAATCCAAAATTTCAATAGTGGTGTGCGTCAAAAAAATGACTTCTCAAAATGTGAGTGTTCTCAGCATAAACAAAACCAACAGCAAATGTGAGTGTTCTCATGGCTTTGTTTACTTCAAAACATATTTTGAAATGCCTAAATGTTGTGTCAGATTAACAACCAGCACAACATGAATAACAACCAAACAGCAGCACACAAAACAACAAAACAAGGCATCAGCAGAGCAGCATGAATACATTTAAGCAACCAACACAACATCCCAACTCAGCCAACCAACCATCCTACCATTAGCTAGCACCTAAGCATAGCAGTCAAGCATCAAGCAGCCAAAATGGACAAAAACAACAGCGAACTGTCAAATACAACAATTTGTATTTTGAATTTTATTCAGAGGACCCTCGTACGCAAATGATTCATGGCACAGGAAGTATATGCTCAATACATTTATGTAAGGGCATTGTTGGGTAATCAACAAGATGTGGTTTTGGATGTGTGGTAGTTCACAGGATCCTAAGGCAAATTGTTTGTGGTTCTCTCTCAAACTATTTCTGCCTACGTTATTAAAGGCATTAGAGTATGCAACTGAAGCTAATTAAATGGACACAATGGAAGTTATCATCATCATGAGGGGCTACTAAAATATAAGCGACTAGACTCCTAGTGCTTTTAATGATTGCCACTACTTTGAATGTGAACCTTAGTTATATCCTCTGTTTAGGTTTTTTGTTATTTGATTTTTATTTTTCCATATACTACTACTAAATCCATAGTGGATGAGATGGGGTATTGAATGAGCAGCAGGTTATAGTAGGATGGCCGCGACTACCCCATCCAAGTGATGCTAGTGTATGTAAAAATTGTAGATGTTTAAAAATGATTGGTGCTCTCAAATTTGAGTGTTTGATTACATTAAAAACATATGTTGTTCTAAATGCTGGGAACAACATAAATAAGATTTTCATCATCAGAGCAAAAAAAAAAAAATTATAAGCAAATTAGACGGAAATTTTTTCCAAAGAAAAGGTACCTTAAATCTCCAAAAAGCACAGCAGAATGGAACTGGATTGTCACTTTAAACTCCTTAGCTTGTCCTTGTGGTCTCAGATCCTCTCACTAACACACAAAACAAGGTCAAACATTATTTAGATTTCTCACCTATGAAATCTAGATTTATATATATATATAGGGTTATATATATAGGGTTAGTTTGGAATAATATATATAGGGTTAGTTTGCAAAGAAAGTGTCCTGCAAAATTGAATTTATAGTTAAGGGTATGCCTTGGACTTGTCTTGTGAGAGATCAAAGCAAAGAGCATGAAATTGTTTCCTATATAATATGATACATTTCTACCAACAAGCATTAGCTCAATTGATAAAAAGAGCTCCAAATTAGTGGGATGTGGACTATACCTACATTCTTCAAAATGAAATCTTTTATTATGAGCATAGAACATGATTTTTTGTTTGGAATATTATTTAGATTTATACATATATATATATATATATAGGGTTAGTTTGGAATATTCCTAAAACAGAGGTCATATATATATGCATTCAGTTTAATCATCTGATTTCCTAAAATAGGGTTAGTTTGGAACATTTGGTCATATAGTTCAACAATCCACAATGGAGAATCAGAAATCGGCAATCCAAAATTTTAACCAAACCCATTCACGAAATCAGAAAAAGCCCTAAAAATTGTTTGTGAAATCAACAGAAAATGAGACAAAAAAAAAATTAAAAACCCTAGAGAAATCGTTAGAGACATGGGGATGGGAGATACAAATAGACAGACCCAGATCGACAGAGGGGGAGAGAGACGAGAGACAAATACCTGTGGCCAGCGATGGTGACCGGCGATGATCGGCCAACGCCGGTGGACAGCGCCGGTGGCCAGCGATGGTGATGACCGGCGGTCAGGTTTGGTATCGACTGCTGGTGTGTGAGGTCTGTATGTTGGTGTGTGAGACAAAACAGTTCCAAAAATGTGTCTCTGAAATATATATATATATATACTGGGCACGAATCATTAATGAGTTTCCCTCTAAAAAATTTCAAAGCTTTAGCGACTAAATCCTTATTTGTCGCCAAAAATCATATTTGGCGACTAAAAATTGGTCGCCCAAAGCATCCTATTTGGCTACTAATTCCAATTTTTCGTCGGCAATATTTACTATACAACGACTAACTTAGTTTTGGTCGCCATAAATTCATCAAAAATACGCCCATCTTTTGGCGGCAAAAATTTTTTGTCGCAAAATGGTAGCAAACAATGACTACAGCTAAGTTTGGTCACCAATAATAATATATGGTGACTAAATTAATTTAGTAGCTAAAAATATTAAACGAATGCCGACTAAATCAGGTTTTTAGTCACCCAATATGGTACTTTTGGCGACTAAAATTGTTTTGGTCGCCAATTTTAGTCGCCAAATGTGCATTTTCTTGTAGTGAGGGGATGGCAGAGAGAGAGAGAGAGAGGGGGGAGGAAGAGAGAAGATGAAAAGAGTAATAGCGGGTTCGGGGTTGGGTCTCTGGCAAGGGTTGGGCTCCAACAGGGAATTAAAAAAGAGCACGAGTATGGGCTCCGATGGAGGTAGAGAGAAAGAGAGAGGCTCTGTGTTCAAAATTTGAAATTTGGAAGAGAGAGAGATTCCTGAGAAAGAGATACTTTGGAACTTACATTTTGGGCCATTAAATCTTGATGGTAATTAATCTCAACAATTAAGTAAGACATTTTCAGTTATTGGATTGAATCAATCTAATGGTTCGTATGTTGACACATATACATTTTGAGCCCTTGAATTCAAACCAAGCCTTCCATTGTTATATAGATTTTTACACACAAATTTTGGAAGCCAACAAAATCTTTCTACTTTCTTGTTTTTTTTTTTTTAGTTGTATTAAATCAGAGTAAAAATGTCCTGATTTAAAGTGGCAAAATATTTATTTATTTTCCAGAACATTACATTATGGGACAATATCCTCTCTGGTGAGCGGACCGACAAGTATTGTCGAGTCCATTAATTTCATCTTGAATCCTTTTAATTATTTGAATTGTTCATATTTTATTACGTATTTAGACCAATTTTAGAAAGTAGGGGAAAAAAAAGAAGAAGAAGAAGAAGAAGAAGAAGAAGAAGAAGAAGATTTTTTTTTTTATTTTTTTGGTTTTTTTTTAAAAAATGCAAAAAATATATAAAATTTATGTGACCCAAATAAATCAATAAGCGAATAAATTGACTTTTTTCCTCATTGTCAAGATAGGCCTCAGATTATATAAGGAAAAAAAATGATTCAATGTTCATAGTGATATAATTTTATTATATTTATTTTTAAAAATATAGTTACTTTTTTTTAAAATATATATAATCAAATTATGACATTCAAATTGATTTGAGATTTATGCCAATAAATCAGGTGATTTGATTCATGACCAATAAATCATTTGAGTATATTTATCAGCAAATCACTTATATTCAACAAGTGGAGCCAAAGTCCACCGTGGTTACTTTGCTGAAAAATTCCACCATGTTTGATTTTGTTTCACCCACTTCTTCCATGAGAGCTGTTGTTAACAACCAACTCATAAGAGACATTTGACTTTTTATTATTATGAGATCTCAATTCTCCATAGTTGAAATGAAAAAGCTAACAAAACCATTTCCAAAGGAAACTTAAAAAGAAATTGTAAAGAATGTAACTGCGGTTCGATTGTTATGCCGGTTTAACCACAATTTTTTCAAAATAGGCCAGTTTTCAGAATAGAACAAGTTTAGAAAGCCATCCGAATCGGAACCCGAACAAGTCAACAGGTTTAGTTTGTTTTTGATAAGTGCTAATCTGATCTCCCCCTAGTATATACCTCAATCTGTTAGTTTTGTCATTGGAAAGGTTCGATTGATTCATATATATCCTTGAGTTGTATAGAGTTGAGAAAATAAGATAGAATACGATTTCTAAAATATTAGTAAATAGATTGTTTTAGTGTTCCCAAATTTCAATGAAATTCAACTTACGGAAACTAAATCTGTGGCTCATTACCTAGGCCAGTGTACCACCTTTGTGTTCAATTATGGCACAATTCCTATTTTATTCCCCCGTGAACTTTAATGAGAGATTCCATCATAAATTTCTGGTGTTGACCGATGATCTTGGGCTAATATCGTTCAATAACAATAATATTAGGATGATTATCTTTACTCAACAAGCACAATTCCTATTTTATTCCCCCGTGAACTTTAATGAGAGATTCCATCATAAATTTCTGGTGTTGACCGGTGATCTTGGGCTAATATTGTTCAGTAACAATAATATTAGGATGATTATGTTTACTCACCATGTTTTGTTTATAATTTGATACCCGTGTGCTTAGTTTAATATGAGTAAAAATGACAACATTGCTTTCCAGCATTGTTTGATAGAAGAATTTTGCAGAGCATATAGAGAGAAAAAGCAATGTAAATTGTCTTCTCATGAAATGCTTTGCTGAATGATTACAAAACTTCCAACAATGTCCTCACTTTTCTTTTTCTTTTTTATTTATTATTTATTTATGTATTTATTATTATTATTATTATTTTTATTTTTTTTTGAGAGAGAGAGTATTCTATTCAATTTGCAGCCCACACATCCAGACAATTGTATATATTTTTATCAAGAAACCATAAGCTTGAAATTGAGTATTCCATATTACACAGTAGAACAAGGTATTTTGAAATGCTTATTTGTGTATTTGGGTACCTAGTTATTCAAAAAGTCGGTATGAAATAATTATACAATCAAAGAATCAACTCTACTACGGTGTCTCTTAATTGCTAATTGCAATAGCAAATGTGCATCATCTGTGAGAATCCCAGCTCCAAAGTTTGGCATTCTATGGAACTCAGAATTTCTTCAACAGCAATACAACTTCCATGATCATATATAGGTGTTACTGTTTCAACTCATCTGCTCACCAATTAAATCCAAGCCAACCACAAGGAAAGACAAGCCTTGGAACAGCAAGAAATAGAAATGAATTCCATGTGCTGATAACAGGCTTCTTGCAGCAGCGGTGAGTAGAAGAAAAGCAAGGGCAAGTTCCTTCCTATAGAGCTTGTTTCGCTTCTTGACAACAGGTACCTCTTGTTCCTTCAGTTTTGTGAGCATTTCTAGGCCAGATTCCGAAAGCCTCCTTTGGATTTTCTCTTGGTTTGAATTTATCGATTCCCTCTCAGCCAGGGCTAATAAATCAGATTCAGATGACCTGCCTGTCTTCTTTGTCACTACCCATTCATAAGCACTTCCAAGTTGAAATAGCCCCGACACCATGGCATTGAATTTTGTCACGGACATGGTGTTCTCAAACAGTAGGTATGGTATCAAGAATGGGAAAGATTTCGGAGAAGGTAGGACATTCAAAAAAGACATGAAAACCGGTACATAACAAACCACCCAAAGAGGTAATTCTGCCTCGGGTATGAACATTGTTAATGGAAGTATGACACAAAATAGTGTGAATGAGTAAAAAGGAAGTATCAGTTTTCGCAGAAGAAAGAAGAGAAATATCATGTTGGCCTTCTTCCACATTGATATCTGCACATAGACACAGCGATAAATCAGATTTGAACAAACATTAGAACTTCTACAGATTCTTAAAAAGCAACATTTAACTCCGGAGGGAAAAAAAAACCTTGGAAGTCAAGATAGCAGGAAGGCATAATCTGAAGAGCTGCATTGGACCCGAATGCCAGCGATGCTGTTGTTTCTTGTAGGCTTCATAAGATTCGGGTAATTCACAAAGCACCCTCACATCATTAAGGAAAATGAATTTCCACCCGTTCAGATGGGCTCGAACTGCAATGTCCATGTCCTCTACAGTTGTTCTTTCAAGCCAACCTCCTGACTCCTCTAAGGCCTTAATCCTCCACACTCCAGCAGTTCCATTGAATCCGAAGAAATTAATAAACATGCCATTAACTTGCTGCTCTACCTCAAAATGGAAGCACAGATTAACATTTTGAAGCCTTGTGAGTAAATTCTCATCCTTGTTGACAAACGACCAGCGTGCTTGGACAAGACCCACCTCGGGATTTCCCTGAGACAATTTCACAAACACCTCATAGGTAAGATTAACAAGATTATAAAGATTCGAAAGAAACATTATTCAAGTGGATAGGTTTGTTACCTTGAAGTGAGGTATTGTCAGTTTAAGGAAATCAGGATTGGGCTGAAAGTCTGCATCGAATATTGCGACAAACTCGTAGTCCTTGACATAGTCACAGCCCATGGCTGATTTAAGATTGCCTGCTTTGTACCCTGTTCTTATGAATCTATGTCTGTAGATTATGTTCACCCCTTTTTGTTTCCATGAAAATACTTCATTTCTTATTAGATTCTGTAAACTTTCATCATCTGAATCATCTAGGACTTGAACTAGAAGTCGGTTCTTTGGCCAATCCAACTGGCAGACAGCAGAGATTGATTGCTCATATACCTAAATTCCAAGAAAATCTTTCACATCAGATCCACACAAAAAAAAATGTAAATGGATCAATAAACACCAATATGCATCTAAGTGCTAAAAAAATGGTGACCCAGTGCACGAAACTCTTAATCTAGAAGAGAAAAAAAAAAAAAAAAAAACACACCAATATGCACCTACGTGCTAAAAAAAATGACTCAGTGCGATACTGAGTTTGGAAATAACAAACAAGATTTGAACTCGTGCCACCAGGGCAAGCCTTATCATTGGGCCAAACAGCCCTTCAATATGGTGCAACTGATTGCTCTTGATTAAAAATGCAAATTGAGCTGTCAGATGTAATTAAAGAGGTTAACATGTACAAATTGAGAACAGAAACGTACGAAAAGAAAAGGAGAAAGTAGTTTTTTTTGTTGTTTGATTACCTCTCTTTCATTGCACATTGGAATCTGAACAAGAACCATTGGGAAACCTGAACAATCCTCAATGTCATATGGTTCTCCTTCAATCACTGGTTTCAATTTCTTGCACTTCATCCAAAAACACCCAAAGCAGAGAACTAGCCGATCGAGCGATTGAATCATGAAAAGTACAATGCAGAATTTAGAAAGATACACAACGGAAGGAGCAATATAATCAACTCTGAAAGATAGCCAAGCCATGTAAGACCACTGCACAAGACCCTGAACCTCCCATGGATTGATCAGATTCAAATTCCATTTCTTGAAATGGGCAACAATTTCTATAACCAAAGCAAAGACCGAAACAGCAAGAAAAACTCTGAGAAATCTGTACAACCTCCCTTTGTTTTTGGGCTCTTCTCCTTCTTCTTCGCTCATTTCGGATACAGCGATGCGTTTCTTAACCGAAACAAAGGTAGACTTTAAGGCCATTGCTAGCCAAGAAATGCAAGTGAGAGCTTTGTATGCTTTGAGAAGAAGAACCCATGTGAATTGCTTAGGACTTGCAGCTTTTTCTTTATCTGGGAACATTAAAGGCTTGTTCTCAATAGTGACTGCCACTGATGAATTGGGTGCCATTTCTTTTCAATCACCCAAGAAAATCAAAGACAACCCAGATGAGAACTCTGGCAATAGAACACTGGGTTGAACTTGGAAATTAGTTATATACGGGATTTACATAGAATCAAGAATGAGAAAGAAAGAAAAATAAACACAACTCCAAATCATTGAAAACTGGATCTGAGCAGAACAGAATGGCACAGGGCCCAGAAATTCAGATGGAAGGTGAGGAAGAGAATATGCTTCTCAGAGAGAGAGAGAGAGAGAGAGAGAGAAGTTGCTTGTGTGGGTGATTAGCAATGGAAGAGGGGGTTAGAGGGGCCTAATATAAAATTTCACAAAGTCCAAGGTCCACACTGTTCGTTCAAAAGAAAAAAAGGTCCACAGTGTGTGTATGTATACAGCAAAGGATAGTCCAGGTGATGAGAGATGTGTGAAGCACAAAGGTAAAGAGTCAAAGGAGAGAATAGAGAATTACATAATATGGTAATGTTAGGAATTTTAAAAATTTTATTAAATATTTTATATGGGTGTGTGATTTATATTATGTGAGTTTTATATTTATGTGAGATATTTAATAAAATTTTTGATAGAATTTTTTGAGTCTCTAACATTTTTGTATAATATAACAAGTGTACTTGGTTTTAATTTTTTAAATTTAGTTTTTTTTGTTTTTGTATTTTTTTTTTTGTTTTTAATGAATATTTTTAAAATTTTAAGTAATTTTTTTACTTTTTTAAATGAACTTTACGTAGATGTATTTAAAAAATAAAACATTTATAAAAATCAATAAATACACAATAATACCAAAACAATGAACTGAATTGTTATTATTATTTTTATATTTTTAGTATTTAGCAAATTTTTTAAAGATTTTTTTTATAAATATGATATTTTTTTAATTGTATTTTTGTTAAGTGTATCTAAAAAAAAATTAAAAAATTATTTAAAAAATTTAAAAAAATCAATAACAGTAAAAAAAATATAAAAAATAAAAAATTTTAAGTGAGTGGTTTTTACAAATCAATCTTACACAAGACACATGTTGAAGTAAGAAGATCTAAATTGTCGTCATATGATGATTAATTAAGATAACTTTAGTTGAAAATAATGAAGAAAAAAAAAAAAAAAAAGGTTAGTGAGTTTGTTTAGTTCACTCAAATCATAATTCTAAAATACACAAACTCAAAATACAACTCATATTCTCAAATCATAATTACAAAGCTCTACCAAACGGAGCCTTAATTTCTTCGTCGTGTGGTGTGATCTGGAGTCTATGGACACCGTGTGTCTTTGCGCAATGCATGGTGTACTGTGTTTCAACTTCTCAAAAACAAATCGGTGTCAATCACCGCCGAATCCTGATGGTTAAGGTTTAAATAATATCAAAATAAATTTAAAATTTTAATACATGATAAAATTTAAAAAAATTTATTAAAAAATCTTTCATCAAATACTTAGGCCAAGTTTGGCTACTGCCAAAAAAGTGCACTTATTTCATCTTTTTATCTTTTTTGGGTCACATCAATCAACATCTCCTCTCTACTTTTTCTACATATAATACAAAAAAAAGTCAAAAAGTGCACTTATTTAATCTTCCCAAACTAGGCCTTATATTCTACCATTGGTGTAGTGGTAACATAGATTACGCATCAGCATTCCACGTTAGCAAGTAGCGCTCAATTTTCAAGAGACACAAATCTCTTTTAATGACTCTATATTTCAATCGTGATTCTGTTTTATGCTATTTTGATTCGACCGACTAAATAAGAAGATTAGAATTTATCAGATTTGAATTTAAGAACTGTGAATCACTGGATTATTTATCCGTATTGGTTTTCTCATAGAATTAGATGTTTGAAAAAGACTATTTTTAATGAATCTAATGTTTGGTTAGACGCACTGAATAGGATAAATAAACAAAAGATTATTTTATCTTTTTTCAATTGTTTACTAAGTAATAGTAATATTAAACATATCTTTAATATTTTAATTATTTTTAGCTAAATTAAATAAAAATTTTATTTATTTTATTTTTTACACAATTAAATAAATTTATTTTTTTAAAATTAAATAAATAAAATATCAATAAAAATATATGTTATTTTTTAATTAAAATTTTAAATGAATTTATTTTTAAAAATAATAATAATGAAATAATGAAATTAAATAAAACATCGATTAAAATTTAAATTCAATAAAATATAAACAAAATTTTAAAATAAAACATCAATAAAAATATCTATAAAAAATTATTTTAAAAAATTAAATAAATAAAGCATCAATAAAAAGTTAAATAAAATTATTTTATTTTTAAATTGAGACATTTAAATTTTTTTAAATTTTACTAAATATAATAAATAATTAAATAGTAGAGAGTTAAAATAGTCATTTTACCATCTAATCCGAACAGTAAATAGTCCCATGGAAATAATCCCACGTCCCCCCAGGATATAATAGTCCCTCATATAAGGGATATAGAGTCTGGTAGGACTCCATGTCCGACGAACTAAAAAAATAAATAAATGCCGGATTGGATGCTTCCAATAGATTACAGTCCGCACAGTAAATAGTCCCTCCCTTATCCCTCCAATCAAACACATTCCAATCGTGACTCTGTCTTTTACTATTATTGTATTTGTCCTATTATTTTGGATATTTGATCTACCAAATCGTAATTCTTACAATTTTACCTTTATAAATATATTTTAAATCCTTACCAATTTGGTGTGTGCTATTTTGGATTATTTTGAATATTTAATGATGTAAACACTTACATTAAATAAATTCAACAATATGAATGTCCACATCATGAAATATTTGCATTGTCAATGTAAATTATTATTAGGGACATTTTGATAATTATGTTATCCATATGATTTATTGGAACATAAAATAAATAATTTGAACTAAATATAATATAAATAGGTGAAGAGAAATTTATAAATAAATATTCTTAAAATTTATATATTTCAATTTTCTCATTGAGACGTGTACAAAGCTATCCATCACACACATTAATCATAATTTGTGCATCTTATTTTAAGGTTGAGATTCTCTCCTTGAACTCCCTCCTTGTCTTCCTACTTGTAATGATAAATATACACCTTAAATTGATCCCACGGTCCAGATTTGGGCGGAAAAAACAAATTTAAATTTGTTTTATTATTTTTTTATTTTTAAATTGTCAAATTTGAACCGTTAGATCAATTCAAAGTGCATCTCTACCATTACAAATAAGGAGATAAGGATAGAGCCCAAAGAAAATATCTCAACTCCTTATTTTAAGTTAAAACTAGTAATAAAAGAGTAGAAATTAAAAATATCATTTTCCCAATTTTTAAATAATTTATTTATTTAAATTATTTATGTCTAATAAGTTATAAGCATAAATTATATTAAATAGTTTAATACAAACTCTTAAATTAAAATAAGTTATAAGTAAGTTATTTAAACGGAAATAATAAAAAAAAAACCGTGATTGTTAGTATTTTTGTTAATTAATAAAAAATAAATAAAAAGACCACGCACGCAATTAGAAAAGTAATTTGAGAACATAAAATCTATAATTTAAATTTAATGTAATATAATGTGAGCTAATAAATCAAAAAATATACTTTTTCTATAACATCCCAAACCAACCTTAAATATGGTTTCACACGCTTAACTGCATTGTCCCTACCTAAAACAGATTTAAGCCGTGTTGCACATTTTTATTAAGTTGATCAACCCTTCTTAATTAATCTTACGCGGATTCATCATGGGGATTTGCTGTCACTTTTCACCGATGTGGGTGGGTAGCCTGGCTCATAAAAGTGATGGTAACCATTGATGAGTTGTATTTTAAAGTAAGGGACAGTGTGGTAATTATGAAGAGTAAGGCTAAAGAATCTAAATAATTTATTAAATATTTTATTAAATTTTTTACATGAATATGGCATCTACACATATATGAGATTCATAATACGAGATTTGATAAAATATTTAATAGATTATTTGAGATTCATAATATTTTCTAATTATCAATTAAGAACTATTTTTGGTTATCAAAATTAATAATAAATTCAAATTTCCCCTTTCAAGAAAAAGTTTCACAAATGTTTGAAATTTTTTTTTTCTTTTCATTAAATAGCTAAAAATTTACACCATTTGGATACGCTTCACTGTTAAAAAAAAAATAAAAATGATTAGAGTTGGAGCTTAAGGCAAAAGAGGGAGATGAAAATATCATAATCAAGGAAATTCACCTAAGATGTTAGTTTTTGTTGATAAAAATTTAGTTCAACTCCAATCAATAATGATTTGATCGACAAACTAAAATAAACTTTCAATAAACAGAAATAAAAATCAAGCTATGTTTTAAACAGATTAAGGATTTTCTTAGAGGTAATTAGGCAAAAAAGAGATAGAATAGAAAGGAATATGTATTAATACGAATGAGTTGTCACTTGTCACTTATTACAAAAACTTAAACAAGAATAAAAGATTGAAGAAATATAGCAATCGACAGAAAAAAAAAAAAAAAAGAAAAAAAAAAGTGGAGGGGAGGTTTGGAAAAGGCTATCACTATTCTACTCCTAAAAATGCTACGTTAAACTACTCGTAGATAAACTCTTAGCAAGTATTTGATTATTGAGAGATGTCCTTCCTTGTATCCCTCTTGACCTATTTATAGACTCATTCACATGAGAAAAAGAAATAACTTAAGGCCACAATTTTCTTAACAAGCCCATGATTTTCTCAACATGATATATATTCGATCTTTGATAGGAACCATTTTGCAGATTTGGTGCTTGATTTGATATTGGCTCTTTGATTTCAGCAACTAACTTTCAAATTGCTCAATTGCCATCTTTCTAGCTCTCCATTTAACATGTCATCATGTCACATCCTTAACATATTTGTCCCGCTACGTTAGCATGTCTGTTGACAAAAATAATAACAATAAAAGCAAATGTAACCAAGGTTATTCTTAAAAATATTCTATGGTCTTAATCGACAGGCCATAATCGAACTTGGCCATAATTAATAGGTCATAATCAACAGAAAAATAAAATGTGGCACAAATAATGCCCCCCTCATTTGAATGGATTGAAGAATGAAATCCAATTAAATGATTTATAAGGCCTTTTACCACAATCCACAAAAAATATTTTATGGTGCAAACAATTCGAATTCTTGAAGAGTTATATTATATTTATCGTAATTTTTAATCTATCACTATCGATTTGTGAACATTCAATCTTTGGCTCTGTCGACTGACATAACATAGAGTCACATCCCTTATTTTTAAAATAAAACAAGTCTATGTTAGCCACATTTTGACTAATTAAAGAGAATTCATTACATATAACAT